AGTAGAGGTCTTAAAATTTTTAAAATATTTATTGAGGAATGGATTTCATTCATGGGTTGCTTAGGTAATATATACATTTATGGAAAGGACATATAATGAAGTTAGTCTTATTAGGTCATCTCTCTTCTCCATGGTGAAAATAAAGAAAGGAACAGAGGGGCTGGGGATTTAGCTCAGTGGCAAAGTACCTGCCTGGCAAGCACAAGGTCGTGAGTTCGGTTCCTGATACCGGAGAAAACCAAATTAAAAAAAAAAAATAAAGAAAGAAAGGAACAGAAAATGTTGGCGATGATGAAAAAGGTAAAACATTCATGAAGAGGAAGGCAAACTGCTTATAGTTGAAAAAGGATCACACTGGTCACACTGGCTGTGTTTGTACAACCTGTGGACTCAACAGAAATGTACAAGTCATCGTTTGATGTAAGCTCACTAGCCCCTTACCTACCAAGTACATTTGTATACTTTCACGAATGAAACTGTATCAATCACTAATATTACAATATACAAAGAAGCAGAGAGGGGGAGAAATAATGTTTAATTAGAATAGTGTCAGTAGAACTAAGCAAAATTTAAATCTGAGCATTGAAAACTCTTTCATCAACATTCTAAGTAAGTCTATAACAACTGAATTAACATGAGCAAAGGAAGGAAAATTCAAGTCATAAGCACTGCATACAATAGATACATTTATAAAATACAGATAAAAGATATCCTTCTACCAAACATAATTAACTGGGGGTCTGTAAACTGGCAATGTGTTAGGAATCTGGTCTGTTCCAAAGTGTATGAACATTTCTGAAAAGAGGGATAAAACAATTGAAGCCACGGCAAAGATAACCATTTCATTTTTCTTCTGAATATATGAATACATAATAGATGTAAAGAATACAACCACTATAATTATTTGTTTGTGAACATTTTCAAAGAATTACACACTCAAATCATATGAACGTGGCTGCTGAGAACTATTCAATATTAATGTGAATACTTTTTTGAATAAGTACACTCCATTAAAAGCAATATGTATTATTTCAAAACAGGTACGCATTATGTGGACAAAACAGTTAAACGAACAACAGTAAGTTTTCACTGGAAAAAAGAATAGAGAGGATAGCACAGTCTATTTTATCCTGAAAAACCATCATTTCCCTGAAAATAGATAAAGTGCATTAAAATACCCATTCAAAAATCTCAGAATAGGGCTGGGGATGTAGCTCAGTAGCATAAGCGCCTGCCTGGCAAGCGCAAGGTCATGAGTTTGAACTCCAGTACTGCAAAAAAAAAAAAAAAAAAATCTCAAAACAAAGTAAAATAACTGACTCAAATGAAATAACTCTGACTCAAAAGATAATGAATAGAAAACTTTTCATATATCGATATAATAATTATAGAATCCAAAATAAGTACATATTATATATGCAAATAAACAATTTATTATGTCAGTATATTCTTGTAATCCTTACTATCATTTATATTTATAAAACCATAACTTACTTCATCATAAGACCTTTTTTGTGTCTTTCCTGTATTCATTTACTTTCAGCTCAGTTTATTGGCCTAAATCTAGGAAAATCTGAGCCTGTAATCAGAGCTTTACCCCAAGATTTAGCAGTAGAATATATACAGGAAACAGTTTTTGAGGCATTAAAAGTAGCAGCCTCAGGATGGATAAACACAGACTAGGAAAGTTCACACTACATATTGTGAAGTGTTAATTGAAGAATGTTTATTTGGCACAAGACACGCCCCTCTTTTTGTACATTCCATAAGATGACGGTGTCACGTTTACATGGCCATGCCACCTTGCAGCAAAGCGATCTTCAAAACAATTTCTAAATACTCTTAATTACTTTTCTTCCAATAGTATACTAGATTCATGCACTTAATTCAACCTATGTTTTAAAACACTATGTGTTCATAATACACTATCAAATAGATGATGCCTTTTTACAATACTGAAACACAGATTTTGTATATACTGATCTCACCACAAAATATTACCATGCACGTACATGTGTAGTTCAACAATTCAAAGAAAAGAATGAAAAAATTAAGATTTATCTATGTGTGACACAGTACCTGAAGCCTTCCTTTATCCAGGTATGAAAGAAAATCAGCAGAGAAATTCATTCAAGTCAAATATGAGGACAAGAAATCCATGTAAGTATACAAGGAAGAGTTTCCCCACAAGGAAAAACTTTAGTAGGTAATGTTGAAGATACTATACTTAAATATTTTAAGAAATAGTTGCTGGTGATACTAGCCAGTGAGACCATGAGAACCACAGATACAGTTTAAGTAGTTTCTGAGTAAATCCTTTAAACTTTGAAGAGTTGAAAAGATTAAAAAGTATGAGGGCCTTTTATTAATTATGAAAATTCAAGGTAAAGCCTTATTTTTTAGGGCACATAAAACTTGATTGAAGAAATATAAAATCGAAGTGGCTAGGCTTTACAAACTTTTAATTAACTTTTAAAATAAAGTCCATAATTTCCCATTTCTTAAATATTAATATTATTTTTCTTTAACACATAGTCAGTTACTAGAGAACAGAACTAGGAATGATGAGCATATTTCAAATTTAAAAGACCTGGATTCATTCCCTGAAGCTTTCTTTGTGAAAAAGGAAATTAAATAACTTGCTTTCTAGCAAGTGAAAAAAGAGCATTGTCAAGTTATAAGGAAGCTCAGAGTATGCAACTTGGACCAAACCCCTCAGAATCTAAAAAGGACAATAAACTCCTTTACCTGTATTCTCTATGCAAACATTTTAAGTAAAAATATGCATTGATTAAGAACCTAATGTAAAGATCAAGTAGTGTGAAAAACAATTTAGTTAGTTTATGAGTAAGGCTGAGAGCTAGGGGAAGGGCTGTCGACAGGGCTGAGTGATCAGCCGAACTGGGAGGACGGAAAGTAAGAACGGAGAGTGAATCAGGACTTTGAGCCAAGAATGAACTACCTCACGCAGCCTGGAATCCAGCCCTCTCTCCCAGAAAGGGTGTCTCAGTGCCCCCCTACTAAGTTCCTGAGTTTTGGGGAACTTAAAATGAAAAATAACCAGTCTTTTTTTCCCTCTAAATCCTAGTTTTCTTTAAACCTTAAAGAACTAGGTGTGAGAGGCTGAATTCCAATTGGTCACTTTAAATCCAAACAGTCACCTGTGATGGGTGGCCACTAGGCAACTGAGGGGTTCCGATCCTCTCCTTACCAATAAACAGCTCTGGCTTAGAGGTCATGAGGCCACCACTAGAGGCCCCTCCTGGACATCCAGGAGCTATTCTTATGTCCAATTAAAAGTCTCCTAACTTCCTTTAGTTCGAAACGCCATTCCTAACATTGTGACAGCCATTCGTTCATAAGGCAGGAGTAGGATTTATAATCAAGTTAAAGACAAATTTTTCTATTTGCTGGGACTAAGAGTTTGAAAATACCCATTTTATGAATTTAGAAGGCAAAATGTTTGACCATAGATAAGTCTGACAGTGCAGGATATAATTCACTTAATATTTGTATACTTTTCCGAGGCATACTTTTAGCTTTAGGTTGATATATATATATTACTACTAAAGCTTTGTATCTGCTTTTTAAATTTTTATCTCGAACATATATAGGAACTCTTTTGAAGTTTAATTTATGTATTTAGAACTACTAGTACATTTACCATTCTATTTGTCCCTCTGTTTCTTAACTCTATTTCTAACTCTATTTGCTTAAAAAATCTTCATGTTCTGTACTTTCTATCACAGGAGAGACTTGGTAGAAAATCAGGTAAAAATGAACAACGGAGGTCAGGACTGGTAGGAAACAAGCACTGCCTTGGGTGGTATGTTGCAGACAGAATATGAACCACAGTGGTTTCAGTACCACCATGTTATTCAGCATTTTGCACATTTTTCTCTCCTCTTTTTACACTTTTTCACCTACCGACAGAAGTATATCAATTCTCACTGGAAGTCTTTCACTATATTTTAATACATCTTCTGTAGATGATTAATAAAAGCAAGACACTTCAGTTAATTTATTCAGCCTGAGTATAATAAAATCACATGTGTCAAGACTTTGAAATACACAAAACATATAAACAAAACAGAATATTTAAGTTTTGGATTGGGAAAACACTCCCCCAGATAATATCCAGGGATAGCCATTTTCTAATTAGCAAAATGGCTTAACAAAACAGCTGTTTAAGTAACAGTTTATTTCTAGCTTTTGGTCCCATAATATTAATTTCTCTTACAAACAATATCTCATATGAAGGAAGAACTGGAATATAAAGCCTAAACTTAGATTTAACAAGAATTAGTACCTTCATGTAAAATGATGTAATAGGCACTGATAAAAGCTCTCTACTTTTAGATATTTTATTTAGATATAACAGGTACTAAGACACAAAGATAATCTTTAAAAAGCATGAATTAATGACACCTTAATAAATAAAGATAATTCCTACACTTCTCTGCAACTATTCTGCTTTCTGACAGTAGAAAGTTTAGTTATCTAGGGTTCATTCTAAATATCACAATAGCTTACAACTTTATAGAAAGCAAGGGAGTTGGGAGCAAGTTACTTCCATACATATGAAATTCTAGGGTCACTGAGGACTCCACAGATATCCACAGAATAATTTTTAGACTTGCTGCTGCTAGTTATCATGCACTTGAACTGTATGCAGCAAATGAATGGTTTGTGATCATAGGCAAGGACAAAGCTTTTTAGCTACAGATTTCATTTACATTTCTAAGCCACAGGTAGGGGTGGTTTCCTCTGCATAGTTAAAGCACCTCCTCCTGTACTTGTAGGGAAAAACATGAGCAGTCAATTGGGAGAGATCAGGCAGAATGTAAGCAGAGAATGACAAAGTGACCAGAACGAAAAATTATCTATTTATTTATTTTTTCCAGTACAGGGAATCGAACTCATGACCTTGAGCTTGCCAGGCAGGCGCTGTGGCACTGAGCTAAATCCCCAGACCCTCTTTTTATTTTATTTATTTATTTACAGAACAAAATTTATCTAGCACTTCTAGAGTTTTTCCTGAATGGGCCACTGATGTCTATTCCTGCCGCTCTTTCTTCTGCCTTTATCAGAACCTTGCAGTTATTTTCTTTTCCCTGTCTCAATCGATGTGGCTTTGTCCTAATAACAAGAGAAAAAGTTACCAGTGTGTCCTAATAACAAGAGAAAAAGTTACCAGTGTGGAGTAATGTGACAAATCAAGAAAAACATCTCTGCTCGTCTTCCTCAAGTAACTTTTTCACAGGGCAGCTTGAGGTGGATAGCCGCTGGATAGAGCATTTCCCAGCACCAGCGGGGGAGAGGGAGGTGTGCCTGGAATGTGTTGAATGTGCATTCTTTAGCTGCCTGAAATGGGTGATGGCAGTCTTAATGGCTTCTACTCTTTTTCATTGGGCTGGCTGCTTCCCTAGAAAAAAGGCCCTACCTATTAACCACTGACTACTGGCTGCTTTTAACTTTTGGAATTAGGCTTTTAAAAAAGTTTTGTTTTATCTATATTTATCTTAGATCTTTTCAAAGACTGACTTGTTTATTTTAAATCTGAAGAATGAAGTCCTGGGATGTGAGTCTTTTGCTTCTTACTGAAGCCTGACAGACATGAGGAAGTCACTGAGCTTGGCAGAAAAGACACACCTTTAATAAGGAAAGCTCCCTTAAACAAAATGAAATGTCATCATTCTCAGTAACACAGATGTAGCTTAAGGACACTGTATTAAGTAAAATAAATCATGCACTGAAAGACATACACTACGTGAATGATCTCATTCATATGCGGAATATGAAAAAGGTTCTTCCTAGAATTTGAAAGTAGCATCGTGGTTCTAAGAAGTGAGCAAAATTGGAAGAGGGGTGAGTGAAAGAGGTTTATCAACAGACACAATGCTACAGTTGGATAGGAAGGTAAGTCCTGCTGTGCTAGGGCACAGCAGAGTGAATTAGTTAATAATGTATTGTATAGAATTTCAAATGTACTCACCTTAAAAGACAAGGTAGATGTCTGAAGTGATAAATATGCTAATTACCCAAAGTTGATCATCTCTCTCTCTAGACAGATATAGATGATATAGATATAGATATAGATGATACAGCTATATTATACTTCACAAATGCATACAAGTATTATGTACAATCAGAAAATAAATAGTACAAAATAAGAAAATTTTTAAAATATAAGTAAAGTAGACAAGGTCCCTTTTAAGAAACTAGATAATTTCCTGGTATATTCACGGCTCATTCTTTATGAGCTTTTCATTGCTCTTGATTTAAATAGCTTGGTGATTATTAAGAAATGCAAATAGGCTCATGTTGTTTGTTGAGATTTACTTAGTTTTTATTCATTCAGTAAAATATTTTTTAATTGCCATTATTAAATGTCAGAGTTTTTATGGCTATTTTCTTTTCTCTAAAGAATAATTGAAAAACTATGACAAGTAAAATAAATCTATTCATCATCAGTCAATTTTTCTTCAGAAACATTTTAAACAGCAGGTGAATGTCTCAAAACTCAGGCACACAGCTGCTTTCTAGAATGGCCTTGCAAATTCCTGACTCACCCTAAACCACTTTCAGGCTATATTACACTCCTGCCCTCCTTCATCCCCTCATCTATTCTCATAATGTGCTTATAATAAATTCCCTTTCAAGAATTCTCTTTTGATTTCAAAGTTATATAAATGACAATAATAATGATATTTTAAGCAAGCCATTTCAGATTATTGCAGATTAGGCTTTACATATACTTTGCTTGGTATTCAAATTAATGTATAATATGAACAATGATAACTAATTAGATTAGAAACAATATTGCAATATTTACATTTTCATTAATTTACACATACCTTTGCCTACTTTTTTCTGAATTAGGGCGGTTGTATACTAAACAATCAAACAGAAAGGGTATTAAAAGAATATGAAAATAAAATGGAACAATTTAATATGTGCAATCATTTAATCTTTTTCTGAAAACCCATAGTACATTGTTCTGTCAGAGTTTATGGCATTGTATTGTAATTACTGTTTATAGTCTACCGCTATCTAAGCAGAGAGCTTCAGGAGATCTTAACCTATTCATCTTTGGATCCTTAGCTCATGGATAATGTCTACCATACAGAAAATGCTCACCAGGATCCACTAAATGAAAGAATGAGCGAGGAAAAGCTTGATGTCCACTCTGCTATTTATGGGATATGACATTTTAACTTGCCTTAGTTTTAGTTCTTAGATGTTATATGGGTAAAACAAGGACTTATATAAAGCATGGAAGGCGAGTTTGTATAAACTATAAAGAAATGCACAGGGTCTAATGAACTTCAGTATTCCTCCACTCAGAGTTGATTATTTACTCTATATGAATGAGATAACTGGACATCCAATTTCTAGCCCCATGAATTTGACCATCTGTGGGAAATGATGCTGGATAAATATTTCTGCTGATCATGTTCAGACAACTGTTGGAGAAAATGCTGATGATCTGGATCACATTGGAGACTTCTCACTGCAGACTCCAGGAGTTGAGGAAGGACTGGGAGAATGTGATTCCTAAGACCTGATGCATGCTGAGATAATTATTTCAGGCAATGGAACAGGAAAAGAGAAGCCCTGAGGAGACGAGTGGAAGCATGTCAGCACATGTGTAAGGAGAGCTCCTTTAACTTCCTAACTCTTAGGCTTGTTCCCAAGATTGTGCGGCAATATCTTCTGTGGTTCACCTGTTTCTAAATATTATACAGAAAACTTTCTAATTTGATGTCTTTTTCTCTCACCATTTAAGAAATTTTCTATTTGCAACTACATTTCCAAAAATTACCTCACCTCAGTAATCATATGTATTCGTCTTTTGTTTAACATATGTCCTTCCAAAGATGTAGCTGAACGTCATTATGGGATGGCAGAAAAAAAATCTAATCCTTCTGAATATACTACATATTACTAAATTAGTTTCAAAAATCCAAAAGTATTTTACCATTGAGTGGTTTCACCTCTCATTAATTACTGGCATTAGCTGGCTTCTGGAAATAAAACAGAGCACTTTTTTGATGAACGCTTATACTGACAGAATAGCAGCTTAAAGAATTTTGGCCACATTATAATGCTATTTGTGGTTAATCATCACACAGTGTATGTCATATTGGCATTTATATTTTGTATGTTTCAAACACCATCATAGTGGGAAATGTATCTTTTTCGGACAAATAAAGATGTGGGACCATGTCCTGAGATCAGATGTTTTAAAAGATTAACATCTTTGAAGTAGTAAAATAATGTGGCCAAGCCAGAAAAATCTACGCTTAATCCTTGGCAAAGCCATTAACTAGCACTATGACTTCTGGCAGGTCACGTAAGCTCTATTTCATTTAATAATTGTTTATCTTACCATTTCACTTTAAACAACATGGAGACAGCATTTGAAAGAGCTTTCGGTAGGAGTCAGTTTTAAAATACAGAAAATACAAGTAAGTTCTAGAAGTTAATATTTATATAAAAAGTAAAAACCCTCTATAATTTTATTATCACTTTGCTTTTCAGGGCATGAATTCTAGATAAGAATTCAGTTTCCTTGAGCATTGTTTAAACTATGAGTACTAAATAAATTCTGTTGCTAAATCATTACTGCATGACTATCCCTAGATATTAGTAGCAGTATCAATAGAAAATGAAAATTTAAAAACCTTTAAGGGATTTAGATAAACAGTGATAAAAAGTAGAAATAATTATGATGTTACTATAAGGCACTTAGATATTTTTCTTGAAACTTAGTTCTGCAAAATATGTTTCCTAATAACTAGTGGATTGAGGGGGAATTAATGAATAGTAGAATAATTTCCATAATATTGCTACTCTAAATCAAATATTAATTTTGCACAATTTGATCCATCAAGAATTGCACCTACTAGCCCTGTGTGGTGGTGCACTCCTGTAATCTCAGCACTCAGGAGGTGGGACAGAAGGATCACTGAGTTTGACACCAGCCTGGACTACAAAGCGAGTTCAAAGCCAGCCTGAACTTCAGAGCAAAACCCTGTCTCAAAAAAACAAACCCCCCCCAAAAAAACAAAACAAAAGAAAAAAGGCTTGCATCTACTATTCTCTTTGAAAAGAACATTGAGGAGAGAAATCTATCACCTTTCTGTTCACTCAAAGAATAGAACTGCTAAATATCTTGCAAGATGAGTACAAGACTTTGAGGCCTACATTTATTACACAAACAGTATTTTTCACATCCAAATTTTCTAATGATAAAAAAAAATTTGTTGAATTGGTTTTCCTTACACCTCTTAAATGCAAGACACACCCATCAGAACCTGAAGATAATGCTCCCTTGTAATGGAAATCTAAATTTTAGTCCACAGACAGGACAGTCTTCTACTAAAATTATGTGGCCAAATCTTGTGCAAGTCTATTTTCACATTGCAAAGAATCGTTTTTGGTGCAAAAGTTAGTCATAAAATTCTCCATTAGTGGTTGGTAATGGGCCATAATATTACATGCTTTTGGAAAGTGCATTTGGAAAATAAAATGCTAGAAATAAAAGAAATTAGCAAGATAAACTTATAGAGACAGATTTTAAACAATTGAGGGCAAAAAATACCTTCTAATTTTTTGTGGAGAATGTTCCATCAGATGGGGGGGGCAGACTTTGAGAAAGTGCATCACTTGTAGAGCTATACTGATTCTCTACCTTGTGGTGTCCTGACTTCCTTAATGGAAATATGGAAATAATTAATAACTGTGAGTTTTACAATAGATATGATAAAATAAATCAGAAAGCAGTCTTGGAATGTGGAACACACTACAGGCCAAAAAATTAGCTTGTGTCTATATCAAACTTTTTTCAATGGTCACTGGAAATTTCCACTCTTCTTTATTAACAGATCATCCTAGCAGGATGAATTTCAAATAAGTATCAAGATACAGTTACACTTGTAATTGTACTGTGAATAGGAGAGTATTTAGGTCTCATTGTGGTAAAGATGCCAGGAAGATATGTTCAATTTCTACCCTGGTCAAATCTACAACAATGCTTTTGCTGAAAGCAAAATCAACCGCCGTCATCTAACTATCAAGAAAAAATTAAGTACGATCTTTATGTCTTGTTTTAAAGGGAATCTGTTTTTATTTACAGAAAGAAAAGTATGGCTAAGATCATCTCACACTGATGAAATCATCAGTGTTGAAAAGGCAGCTAACAGTATAAGCATTGGGAGTTAATATTTATGGAGCACTCCTATGAGTCAGGCTATGTTTTACTACACTTCTTATTTCATTCATTTTATTCAAGAATCTTTAAAGTTGATGGTACTTTACAAATGAAGCATAGAAAAGTCAGAGAACTTTTTGAAGGCCATCACAAGTGACTCAAACTCTTACGATCGGACCCTAGAGCGTACTCAATATGTGTTTGTCAAACTCCTCTGCAACAGGGAAATAAAAACTCATTGAAGGTTATTTCCCAGTTCATGGGCTAATTAACTACTAAAAGAAGATTGTAGCCCTAAAACACAATTTGAACTTGCCAGCTCTTTAAGGACCCAGCAGTTTAGCACAGGGTCTCAATGGTTTTATAACTTGGAAATCTTCTAAGAACTTTGTTAGAACTTCTGTTGGGAAAATGCTAGCTTTCTTAGGCAGGTGTACAATAGCTGAGCCACAAGACTGAGGTAGGAGTCTTGTACACTCATTGAGTGACAGGAGCCAGATTGTACAGCACGGCATTACAGCCCTGTGATGTAAGAGATGAAATCTCAATTCAAAGAAAGCATGTGCTCAAAAACGTGAATCCTAATCACTTTCCCTGCCTTTCTGGATTATATTGTAATACAAATAAAGTAATAAGCATAAAAGTAGTATAGAGATCAACACATCTAGGCATAACTAGGAAGCTAAAAGTTGAAACAATCAGTTGTTAGACAAAAGGTAGCACCACTAGATTTGATACCGAGGATAGATGATCACTTGTCATGATCTATTTCATTAGGAGAAAAAGACACCACTTCGTCTGCAATTTTTTCTAGGTCTTCCTCTAGGGGTGTGTATCATTAGAACCCCAAGGAGAGGCAATTGCAATTATAGAACCACTTGCAATTCAGATTGTTAAAGAGTTCCTAGATCTTATGAAGATCAGCTTTCCATAGGCCAATATTGGGTGTTAAAATTTCAAGAGAGATTTTTGATTAGCAAATATGCAGAATAAGAGGAAATTTGGATGAAAGAAAACATACTATTTCACAAAGAACACTAATCTAGAATTCAGAAGTTTGGCATGGTGTAGTTCAAGACTCATTTATTTCAGAAATGACCATCACCATGGGGCTATACTGTGTCATCATCGTGAGTCTTAAGACAATAAGACAGTTTATTCCTTTTAAGAAATTCAGACTGTTAAAGAGGCAGACACTGCATAAATAATTTCATGAAAACATGTGTTATCAATGCATTTGAACTTCAGTTTTATTTGTTGTTAAAAAAGGAAATTGTAGTAAATGATTGTCCAATTTTCATTTGCTCTATTATCTATGATTTATCCTTACCAAGGCAATAATATAACAAATGAGATGGAAAAGAAAACAGTACAATGTAAATTAAGAAATACTAAGTATAAATGTCCACCCACACAATTTTAGCATTATTAATTATATCTTAATGTAAATATAGATAATAAAGTAGATATCAAAGATTGAATTTCAGTTTGCCAAGAACAAAAGTAATCAAAATACTGTTTAGATGCAAGAAATAAAACAAGCAGACTTTCATGTTTATGTTATCATATTTTAAAAATTTCCACTGATTTCCTTGCCTGGATCAAGTAATTTATAACATAATTTAAATTTTCCTATCTCATCCAATTATAAAGGAGGTCTGTGCTATATGAGTATGTCAGTACAGTAAATCAAGTGGGGATTATACATAGTCTCTCCAGCTCTGGCTGCAAAGTAACACACTACAATGTGTGCTGGTTGCTATCCCCGAGACCTCAGTGCCTTCCATGATACAACACAGTTCATGAGGTTGCTTCGGACACTGATTCTCAGGGTGAAGGAGATAAAGGGCAGTAAGGTAGAGAGTGGTCTGGAAAGATGTGGGGCTAGGAAATGGAAATGCAGTCATAGCCTGAGAAAAGCCTATGTTGTTAACTTGAAAGTAGAGTGTAAAGTTCCGTAAGGTCCTGTAGAGAGATTTCAACTTTCTTGGTAGATTATGAAGCCTTTGGTTTCACTTTACTTGGAGCATATTATACTGTTTGAGAAATACAGAGAAAAGAATGAGTTTAAGAAACTGAAAGAAAGTCAGGGTTAAATGAAAGTCAAAGTGAAATACTGTGCAGCTAAGTAACAATATATATCTTAGGTATATGGGACAATTTCTAAATTTCTTGAATACCATCTCTAGATCAGGCACTGTTTAGTCAGTGACACTCAAAAATTGCCAAGATACTGTCTTTCTCTGCACATATCTTCCCAACTTCTACCAGTCAGGGACGCAAATAAGCTTGCAGTGTGAGCAGTGCTAAGGTAGAGTGCTAGGTTTGGTTCTTGTTCTAGCTTCCCCTACACTTCTGTTTTCCATATATTCGCTATCTTGTTTAGATTATAGTCACAAAATCACCTTAAAGTGTACTATGATTTACGTTAACATGCCCACAGAAACAATATATTTACAATACTCTTGATTGTGACATTAAAGAGCTAGAAAATAATAATATTACAGTAATATTTATTCCTGTATTGATTCATTTGAAAACACTAAGGTACATGTACATACTAAGTAATGACCTACATTCTAAATGGGAAAGTTATTGAATCACAAAATCATAGAATATCCTAATAATATAATTAAGAAATTCACTCAACTATTACATCATAACGTTTCTACCAATGACAGGTGATCCTGTACCACACAGCTTAGGTGCATAGTGGGCCAGCCCTTCTCTACTTGTGTAAGTGCATTCTGTCGTGTTCACACAGGAATGAAACTGCCTGATTTTTCCTACTGTATCCCTACTATTAAGTGATCCATTCTCCATATAAGAATAGGAGGGTAAATTTCTGTGTTAGAGAAATGGAGTTCAACGAGGTACCTTACATTCTCAATTAATGCTTATCACAAAAATATCCTATTGTGATCATAATGATCCCATGTTACATAATGATTCCATGTTGAAGAGATTGATTTAATGGCAGACTCTACATTTCAGCCTTGACTTGTGATCATGTGACTTTGAAAACACTCTCTTAATCTTTGTGTACTTAAGTCCTTGTACATAAAATAAGGGAAATGGGGCCAAGTTTACACAATGAATGATCTCCTTAAATGGAAAGATTCACTGTGTGTGAACACATGGATGAGAATTTGTGTGCTTTGTATGACTTGATGGTGGCACTTTCCAGGTCTGTGGGACACTTCTCAAGTCTGCAAGAATAGGAGGGGATTAGGGGCCGACGGGTATGAAGAGGAGACCCAGAGGTGGAGCTCAGCTTTGGGAGAATCTGAGCAAATCAGAAAGATTCAGGAGTAACGAGCTAAGAACAATTCAGATGGTCAAAAGGAAGACGTCAGGCTGTGGAAAAGGGTGAGTGTGCCCTAATACTGTGTGACGTATGCTATATGAGTTCAATGGCAAGTTAGTTCCACAAATCTGAAGGTGCTATGTAAAATAATCACTTGTGTCTAAGGCAAACAGAAACTGCATGTTATGTGTAAAAGATTCATCTTCTGTAAGAGATGTTTAAAAACCTAAAACGATTTTAAACTAAAAGAACACCTCATGTGGAAAACAAGTGATGCTTTATATTAACTGCGAAGTAAAATTGCATTAACCAAGATTTCGTTGTTCTGAAAGATTTCCCTGGAGAACTCACCAAAAAGAAAATAACGTTGTAGGAACTAAGGCAAAGGTATGCAAAGGTCATGCAGAATATCATGAAACTCATCAAATCAAATGGCTTTGGCAAATTTTGAACACCTTAATGTTTATGCTGATGATATGTTATTTTCCATTCATTACAGGTCATTTTCTAAACTATTTTCTTTAAACCTATGAAGCAATGTAGCCCAACACTAATTTTGCTCATTCTAAGATTTATGGAAAAAAGTTCCTCTCCAATTTTCTAGTAATATTATAAATTACTATATTACTATTGTATATTTTCTTCTGATATTTTACTTCAAAAATATTACTCTAGTTTTCTATTTGCTTATAATCCTTTAATTAGGGGGACATGTATGGAAAAATTGGGGTAAGGTATTTTATTATTTATAAATTCTAACTAAATCCTCTGAACAGAAATACAGTATGCATCATCAAATGTAAACTTTGGATAGCTATTAAAACATTAATATTTTGTATATACTAATATTTAAGAACTATTTATTGTCTGCCTAAAAATTAAAATTTAATTGGGTGTTCAAATATTTTGCTATAGTTAGCAACCCTGTATCTAAAATTTATGCTATATAATGAAATTGAAAGAAAGAAATGTCTGTTTCTCCTACTCCCAGTAATTATCCATCAACTTTGAAAAGAATTGCTCTGAAGGCCTTAGTACTTTCACATGAAGCAGTAAAATGATGAAAATGGGAAACGTAATCACCCCCAGATTCCTAACTTTCTAGTAACACTTGAAGGACATAGGTACTAAGGACAAAAGGAAGAATGTTTTTTCCTGGAGAATATTCAGGACCTCACCTGTACCCTAAGCAGTCATTGTGTCCTTTCTGTACATTTGTGGGCCAGGTACAGAGTAATAGTACAAGTGCACAATGCCACCAAAGTGTGAATGTCTATGTTGATTCCTCCCTTGAAATTATGCTATTTTGGGAACACATCCAAAACATAATATAGTATTCTATCCAGCGTGAAGAAAAGGGGAAAGAGAACTATGTTTAAAATCTCACAAACTTTTGAACCTGCTTCAAAAATCTTTGGTCCACTATTTGAAGTAAAACTGATGACAATATAATTATTGAATATGTTTTCACTGAACTAGAATGAGAAACTGATTAAAGTTTTAACTGATCAAAAAAAGTAAAATTAAACATAAAACTTAGGAACTCATTTTTCTGTGAGAAATATTTAATGTAATCTATCTTGTCATGCAGACATGGCATTCAGCCTGACTCATATGAAATGATTGACTGGTGCATATGTGTAATCCGTGCTATTCAGGAAGCAAATGCAAGAGGATTGCGTGTTTAAGGCCAACCTGGGAAGCTCAATGAGATCTTCTCTCAAAATGAATTTTTTTAAAGATGGGGATGTAGTTTAGTGGTAGAGCCTTATCTCATATGGGTGAAATTCCTGATATAAAGTTAGGAAAAGCTTACAAGACTGATATAGCTTTCTATGGTATCACCAAACTGAGGCAGGAAATTAGGGTGTGACAAAACTTCGGGCAAAAGGGCATAATCTGCCAATCACAAAGATCAGGACACACTCTCAGAACACCTTCCAAACCCTGCATCTGGTATCAGAGAGAAAATGCTACCTATCTTCAATTATTCTGGCACAAGATCACACAGGTCTTTGTTAGAAAGACCTAGATCTGATGTAAGAATAGGGGCTGTAAAAGACAGCAGCCATTAACCTAATAAGAAGCTGGAAAGAATCTCCAGGAGGAAGCCTCAGCACACTAGAACCCTGTTAATAAAACCATGATGATAAGTAAACTTGACACACTGATCAAACACTACTTACAATTTAGTCAACTTCAGCTTCATTTGAACTAAAACCTACAGTTCCGAAGCTTCTGTCAGTAGTTGGTGAATTAATCCAACCATTCATTTATCTAGTAAATACTACATGTTGTTCTTACTTTTAGCACTGGACTAGATCTAAAAAAGGAATTCACCTGAAAACTTGAAAATACATGCTTAAATAATGAAACAGAAGAAATATAAGCAAGATCTAGAAATGAAGAATGGGGAGGAGGAGGAGGCAGACAAAAAGAGGGGGGGAATGGGGAAAGAGAGACAGAAGAGATGAGACAGAAAGACAAAGAAAAGTACAAATCGATTAAGAGAGGCTACATTGCCACTTCTTCCCTGCAAGTATCTTATAAAATTTCTGGTAGATAAGTTTAAGTGGCTTAATGCTGATGCTGTCCTTTCCCCCCACCCCTCACCGCCCTACACTTTGTAGTTTTATTTTCTCAGAAGTATGGGGAAGTGTAACAGGAAAGGATTATTAGCTCGGCTTTAGAGATAGTAAAACTCAGACCCTACTAATTTATTATTTCACTGCATTTGCATTCACACAGTAGTGAGAAGATTGCTTATGTGTTCAGAATAAGCATGATGCAACAGGGAGAAGAATTAACTTCAGAGACATGAAAGGGGTCTATAATCTTAGAAGGAAAAGGTGAGAGTTGTATCATCTCCTATAACCTGACAAAGAAAAGGATATATGAAATGTGGTCTATTCAACATAGCAAATCCAGGCAGCAATGCCATGCTGTTTGGAAGGTACAGAGAAAGTCTCAGGAAAATCAATCATCTCCCTAAGCTTCCTGTGTTTGGCTCTGTGTAACTTCTGCAGCACTGGGCATGTGGTGTCTTTAATAAATTGAAAATGTTTTACATAATATGAATATGTATATAATCTTTTAAATCTCACAAAAATCTTGTAATATTGGTTTTTATAATTTATACTTTCAAATGAAAATCATTAAGTACTGATGAAAAGTACTTCATATGTGATGAGTCATCTTTAACGTCCTGGTTCATTCAGAATTGTTAGAAACTCAAAGACACCTGACTTCTAGGCTGGTGTTCAATCCTGGTATCACTGTAGATAGCACATAGTCATTTATTGTGCTTACAGTATGATGGGCAATATAAGACAAAGAAGGAAATAATAAGCAAAGTGTCAAGTTAATAGCATTAGAGAGGAAGAAAAAGTGAACTTTCTGAATTGTAGTTTATGTGAGCAAAACTGTCAGAATGCTTCTCAAGTGCAGTCAGTTAATCTTAAATATTCTATGAGGTCAGGTATGCAGTATTTCCATTTCCAAATACTTTGGATTTTATTTTATTTTACTTTATCTTATTTTATTTTTTTCTGGTACCGGGAATGGAACTCATGACCTCACGCTTGCCAGGCAGGCGCTGTGCCGCTGAGCTAAATGCCCAGCCCCACTTTGGACTTTAAAAGTAGAAGTCATGACATAGATGACTAAGAGATACTGCACGGGATTTCTCTTTATCCATTTTTACTGCACTGAACTGATACATGCTCAGTTAGAAGAGAATATCTGGGTTTGTTTTTTTTTTTTTATAGCTTTAGCAACTTTGTGCCATTCTATAGTTCTGAACTAGAAAATAATTCATTGAACTTTTCTTGTATCCATCTTTAAATTGAAACCCTGGGCTAGAAATAGTCTCTAGAAACAGCAGAATAGCTGGCCAACCGAACCTGCAAAAGTACACTTTCATTCTAAATGAAGGGATCAAATCTCACTTTCAAATTTTGTGGGTACTTATACCCTTCACATTGCTGGGCCTCTGTCATCCAGAGACACAATGACAAAGTAGTTGAAATAAAATGCTTTGGTATAAGACACATTTATTTCACTTCTAAGAATTACTACTTATATGTTTGAGGCATACACATACACATATACATATATATCTATATACTGTACATTCCTTCAACATATCTATCTATCTGTCTATCTGTCTATATTCTTGACCACCATGGTGTCCTGTGTGTGTGTGTGTGCACGTGTATGTGTGTGCGCATGTGTATGTGTGTGCACATGTGTATGCGTGTGTGCATGTGTATGTTAATGTGATTGAACCAAAGGCTTTTGCACTAAGTTACATACCAAGACCTTTATTATTTTGAGACAAGACCTCATAAAGTTGCTAAATTGCTGGGACTGGAGTTGAACTTGGGATCCTCCTGCCTCATCCCCTCAGAATGCGAGGATTACAGGTGTATGCCACCATACTGAAATGTTTTTTTCTTTTTTTTTTTTTTTTTTTTTTTAGGTTTTTCTCCGGTACCGGGAACCGAACTCACGACGTTGTGCTTGCCAGGCAGGCGCTTTGCCGCTGAGCTAAATCCCCAGCCCCTGTTTTTTTTTTCATTTTTACAAAGCAACAAATACCATTACAGGAGTTGATGTGTTTGAAATCGGTGGTTAATAAACAAAAATAATAGAAGCAAAGCAAAAGTTGAATAGGGTGGCCTATAATCCCAGCTACTCAGGGAACAAATGCAGGAAGATAGCAAATTCAAAGCCAGCCAGGGCAATGTAATGAGCTCCTGTCCCAAAATAAAAAAAAGAAAGGGCTGAGGTTGTAGCTCTGTGGTAGAGCGTGCTTGAGTTTGATCCCTGCTATCACACAAATACACACATGGAACAAAGATATCTAAAAACATAAATATTTTTAATAAAATAGAAAAAGTATCACTTTCTAATTTTTTCTCAATATTTCCAGGTGAGATAAGTCCCTTCTTTGAAGGTGGAACTGGTGACTGTCTTTTCAGGCTTCATAAAGCCATACTCATAATGCACCACTCCAATGAACTCAGTCATTCAAAAGTGAGGAAGAAGGCACTCAGTAAACTGAGAGATGGCTCGGTCTATATTTTCATTGTTTGTCCATGTTACAGTCTACAGCTCAAAATCATGACAATGGTTTCTAACTACTGACATGTTACTGAATCTCTCCTGAGTGTTTATTCTATTTACCTCAACATTTTTTCATAGGTTGAGTTTAATAAAGTTATACATATGTTGCTAATTAAATTACATATAGACTATGGATTTTTTAATATTACAACTATCACATATGTAATTACATACAAATTACATAACTTGAAAGTTTATGTGGATGGATAACTAAATGATAGATTTGTAGTATTTGTGAAAAGGGCTTTCATTCTACCGGAAATGACTACTGAATTAACTTCTGAGACGTCAAAAGATATTAAATAGCAACTTCATGAAATCCTTCCTAACATTTCAGGAAACTAAGGGCTTTTATGACAATCAGAAGAGTTGGCACTTTTTATTACAAAAATGAATGAATATATTTGTAGTGTTTGACTAATTTCAAAGATCTCAGGAAATTAACAGCTGTACTTTATGACCCCAAAATAAGAACTATTTTTTGGTGGGGTCTAGGTGAGAAGCAGTGTCATTACTTTCTAATTAGGTTTAAAAGGACTTGAGTGCTACAAAAAGAATACAAACCTGTGTAGTTTCTACTGTTTTATTCATTGATATTTTAAAATTTTAAATAGTCTTTCAATCCCATCAAACTAAACCCCTACTCAAATAAAAAGTAACAATACAAAGTAAAACAAGCATGAATTCCAAATTAATCTGAGTTTCCTAAGCCATCCTTTTCCTAAATCTTAATTCAACTGCAGAGGAAATACTGGTAAACATTTATCACTTTGCAAATTATCTGATATTCAACAGGTGCATCACTATGCTAAATGAAAGTAAGCTACTTTTCAGAATAAGAAAGTCCAATATACTAGTTACTAGTTATATCTACTTGCTTACATTTCAGTTAGTGAAAATGTAAAATTTCTTTCTTCAGTTGTACTGGATACATTTCAGCTGCTCAACAGGGACATGTGACTGGTGGCTACTGCTTTAGGTGATACAGAGAAAACTTTTCCATCACCTAAGAAATATCTAGAACAAACAAGTCCATGTTTTCACTACCATCAAACTGATTGATTGATTGATTGATGGTGGGGATTGAACTCCGGGGCTTGAACATAGTAGCAAGTAAATCTACCACTAAGCTATATCTCTAGCCCTCCATCAGTTGATTTATATGCTTGGCTGAAATCAGCTATTTTTGTCCCCAAACCAGTTTATTTTTTTTATTTTTTATTTTTTTTGTTGTTTTTTTTCTCCGGTACTGGGAACCAAACTCACGACCTTGCGCTTGCCAGGCAGGCACTTTGCCGCTGAGCTAAATCCCCAGCCCCTCCCCAAACCAGTTTACATCATTAGGTTGATATAAAAGTAAGTGATTTAATTAAATGTCATGTAAATTAATTGAAACAGGTATAAAAAGAGTATGAGGGATTATTCTATTTGGATATCTTTAAGTTAAATACTTTAGAAAGAAAAAATACAGTCACTTTCAAAGTATATAGAGTTATATGTAGGTAAAAATATTACAAAAACTAGAAAAAGCCAGATTAAAAATTCTGTTGGTAACTTCCTTTGCACTGGATTTGTACTTAAGGGCATTCATGACACAATCGAAAAACTAGAAATCACAGATAATGTGTTAGGAGATTTACCAAAGGAAAGAAGACTAAGCTCTGTAATTGGCAGCCCAAATGCAAAACTAGTCCTGGGCTTAAATAAAAGTATTGGAAAATAAATAAATGATCAGTGCTTAAGATTTAAACAAAACATATACTGCACATATATACAGATTTTTACAATCAATATATTCAAAAATATTTATGGAGTAATTGATTAACCACTGATCATATTTATATGAAAAGGGAAGGCTTCTATTCCACACAGCCAAACTGCAATCACAAACAATGTGTTTTTTATTACTGGAAACTTAGTGTTTTTATAATTCATTTTGTCTTTTCTATTTTCCAAATTTAAATTCATTGGATTGAATTATATTGAAAACTTATGGACAGGAACCTGACCTAATTCCAAACCTCTGCATAACTGGCCTCTTAATTATAACACAATAAAATATAATTAACAACAGTACCAATATGACTTTACTCTTGAACTCTGTCCAGTTGTCTGAGCCTTTATATGAAGATGAGAATACTTGAGCCATAATTTTGTCCACTTTAACCTTGTGCTTTTCTCTGTCTTCAAAGTGTCATATATTCATCCACTTACAGTTTAGTTATTTGGGAAAGAGGAATTTTAAGAATGTCGTTGTTTTGTGTATTGAGGACTAGATGTAAATGGAAAATTTATACTATTAAGAATACCATCATTATGACACTACGTTTCTTTCATTTAAAAACATTAATACTGCTGTTGCTAATTTTTCCTTGACTGATAAATATTTTTCTACTCAAATAAATTTAAGGAAATATTTAGAATGGCGTGGACTACACAGTTCTATTTGAAACAACAGTATCAGCATATTTATCTATTTTATGTACTCTAGAATGACTTAAAAGTATAATAGATAACCTAAAAAATTATTTAGTCCTCTGAGAAAAGATTCTGCTAGGTTCACCAAAGGGACAGATTAACATTTTCCTTTTCTACATGTGATGCTTTCATATCAGGAGTGGAAATATGGTTGCCTTTATAAGCCAAATTTACAATGACTGGCAAAGTCATTTTGGAAAATTTTAAAAGTATGGTTTCTTTGTCACCACAGTCTATATTATTTCACCTTGACTTAGTCTGCCTTGCTACAGGACCTATTCTGGAAATTCTTTACATTCATGATCCCTGCTAAGGTTTCTGACACAGTGATATTTTCCATAAGTCATGGGAAACATGGATAAGTGAATCTTCAAGTTGGACTTAATTATGCTAATCACTTTACATTAACTTTTATTCTCCCAAGCAACACAATGCTACCAAGCTAATCATTCACAATTTTCTCTATTTGATTTAAGGTATACCACTAGCTGTTAGGACATTTTCTCTTTCCCTAGAAAAGTTTTCAAAGAAATAAATAACAGGATACAACTAAAGGTAGGTAACTTTCTCTTGATGCCTAGAAGAATAAGAGTGCAATTGCACTTAGTAAGAAGTTATTGACAGGACAGAGTTCATTTTAAATAATCAAAACTACATATCTATCATATTTGTGTCTGAGGGTGAATTACTATGTGTTTTATAGTTTTCCCCAAACAACACCCTATTCTCCAATTTCTTATTTTCATTTTTTGCAAATGTTTACATCCATCATGGAGAGTTTGTACGGGTACATATCACATTTTAATTCTTTTTTTCAATAAATTTATTAAATAAATTGAAGCTGAGAACTAGGTAAAAGCCTATTAACAGCAATTATAAAATATTAGTTCTTAAACAGATCATTGGCCCAGGTAGAATCTGGACTGTGAACTTAACTACAAGATGTACAATGACAAAATATTAAATAAGGCCTGCTTTGGTTTGGCCTTCTGGAAGATGAATCTGTCTTATAAACAGAACATTATTTGAAAGGACACATATTTATGTACACAAGAGGCTTAGATTTATTATAAATAATAGTAATTAGCTAGTTTTGTAACTGACCTCCAAAGAATACATCACAGGCTTACACAAAATTGTCTGTAGACCTTTCAGATGCTCCTAGAATATGCCTAGTACCATAATAATATATTCCAGAGAGCCTAGAAACATAAATGGCTAACATAAAACTTTACTGAATCAAAAGTTATTGTAAGGTATGAAGAGTTTTTCCTATAAATGAACTAAAGTTCAACTCAATAAACATGCATCAATTCAATACCTATTCAGGCAAATCTTTGAAAAGCACCTGTATTAGAAAAAATACAAAGGGATGTCACAAGTCTGGAAACTTAATTACTACAAATAGCAGTCATAGAAAACACTGTAGGAATGAAAGTTGTAAGAGCTTTGAGGATTCAAAATAGAAAAATCTTTTTAGCAATCAGTCAACTTTGTGGATGAACATGATATTTTCATGTTAAAAATATGATCCTATCAGGTAGCAGTTTTGCTTGGGCAGTAGGCATTAAAGTAAGAAATAAAACTCTCCCACTGTGTCAAACTCTTCACTTACTGTTTTTGCAAGCACTCTCAAAGAGTATTTTTGGGCCTAATACAGCCTCAAAAGGTCAGCTTCCCCAAGAGATAGTCTCATGAGCTGTTGCAGAGAAACTACGTCTGAATGTGAAATAATGCTTAGCGCGATATAATTTATATCACATCACTTGGGGAATTACCTATGCTCATGAGTCACCATTTGATAATAGGGAGTAAGAGGAACTAAATGATTATTTACAGAAAATGACTCACTTATTATAATAACACAGTTCATATACTGCTGGATTATTCTCAAGAAGACTCATTCCCATTGCCAAGTAATTTATCTGATTCCCACACAGTTATTCTGGCCAATTCAGTTTGTAGTATTAAGAATTAAATTGGACTTTTCTCCTGAGGGCCTATCTATTACTTTGTACTTGATTTTACCTTTCTTTCCCTTGATCTTCCTTCTCTGTCTAGCTTTTCCTTCCTTATCCCACACAGTATTTAAGATAAATCAACAACTATGAACATATAAGTATACTCCATTTAGTTCCCCAAAATAAATATTGATAGAGTATGATTCACTGTTACTTAATTTTTTTAAATTACTGCACTTTCTCTGATACCAAATATGAAAACTACCTATAGTAAAACTTTACTATTTAAAGTTACTAAGGAAATTCTTCAATCTGGATAGCTGATCTTTCTTAAGTGAATGGCAATACTCTAAATGTATGCTTCCTCTGCATTTCTTAGACATAGTTTATTTCTAATTCATATCAGCCATGATCCAGATCTTATTTTATTTCAGAAAAGTTAACAACTTATAATTTACAGTTTGCTCATAAACTTATAATAAGTTAAATAGCCCCCATAGCTAGCTTGGTAAAAGCTATCATGAATTAAAGGCAAGAATATTATTTGTCTGTGTATGATTAACATCCTATGGAAAAGTTTTAAAATTTTTCTTCCTTGCTCCTCTATCTTATGCTTTTCAGAATTTTTCTTATGATTTCTGCATGAGTAATATCATGAGTCACAGTCACACCTTCATTACCCTTCAGATTTTGTTTTGTAGTACCAATTTACTTTAGATGGTTTACAAGAGACTCAACTGTATGATTTTGTTATATTTCTATAAAATCACCCTTTTGCTGCATATCATAGTTGAATTTTGTGGTATTTTATGCTACTATACTACTTGGAAACAGGCATTTTTTGGCAACAGTATTCAATCTAGGTCACTAATGTGTCCATGAGTAGGGCTCAAATCTACTCACTCAGTTTTGGAATACACACACACACACACACACACACACACACAGGTAAAAGAACCTTGGCTCTCACAATTAAATAGATGTAGTTGTTTATCCCTCTGTTGTCTGTTGGTCCCACCTTTGTGTTGAACTGGCACCACATGACACAGTGTCACATCTATTTGTCATGTGTCATTTTCCCTTCCCTTTCTTCACATCCTCTTCTGTGTATGTGTGAGTGTGTGTGTGTGTTTCTTTTGTCTTATTCATGGGTTCTTGATTAGTCCTTGCAAATACTTTTCTTTTATCGACACTAACAGTCTTTAGTTTTCTAAATAATCAAATAATTAATATGATACTTTATTTTAAATAATTGGTACTTAGCTTTCTAAGACTCCACATTCTACATATTGGGGGTTAGAAGATCCTTGTCTATACCATTGTTGGTGAGGTTCTGATACTGAGAAAGGTGGATGCCTAAGTACTCTAAAAGCTAATCTCCATATATTCAAGATCATAAGATTTCAGTAACTTTTCCTTGTGTATGCCATTTTCATGTTTCAAATTATAAATTAAAGTTCTAATGTCGAAAACTAATTCTGTAGCTGAAAAAAGACCTGTATAAGATTTAGTGCCATTATACAAATTATACAACTAATTGCTCCTTAAGTTCTCAGCAAATTAATGGACTCTAAAAAGGCTTATTTGTTAATAAGTTATGTATTTTGTTAATACATAAAGCACATTGTAATACCACTTTCTTTTAAACAAAAATGTATTTAAAATTTTAAATCACATATAATTATTTAATATTAAGTTTTAACATGTCTTGTTCAGTTGTTTCTAGTTTATTCAGCATATACAGCTGTATAAATATAAAGCTAAATATAAGAGAAATACCTGTGAGAGATGTGAAAATATAATTTTAAAATTCATATTCTTTAAACATGAATGTAAAACAATTTTAATTGAAATGATGCTAAAATAAAAATAACATCTGGAAATAGAGGTATTTGAAATTTCAACAGAAATTAACATTATCTAAACTGAGGAATATAAACTGTAACCTACTAATTAGTAAAAATAAATTTGTTCTATTCTTTTTGTACCACAGAGAAAGTTCTAAACCTTAAATTTTATGTCTAAGATGACTTGACACCAAACACATTCAAAACTCATGTCATTCCGTTACTAATGCAGACCACTCTGGAAACTAAATTAATGCAATTTTAGGGCTAATAAACAACACTGAGATTCTGACCACTGTTGTAGTCCATTCAGATAATTCAATAGAAACTCACCACAAAGTCAGATCTTAAAAGCCATACACTGATCTAAGAAATATCTACTCTTCATGATATATAATACATTGAAAGGGATACAATGAAAAATGAAGCATGGACTTGGCCCTCAAGGGGCTTACAATCTAGTATTGAAAAAATAAACAAGCACATAAATAGCCAAAACATAAGGTAGAAAGTGATGTGTCATAAGAAAATTCACTTAATATGTCATGGGAGTTTCTAATACAACAGGATTTTGTTGTTTGTTTGTTTGTTTTGGTACTAAGAATTGAATCCATTGCATTTTTCCTGAGCAACATCTCCAGATTTTTTTGTGTTTTTTATTTTGAAACAAGGTTTCCTTGAGTCACTGATTTGCCCAGCTTAGGCTGCAACCCGCAGTTCTCCTGCTCAAGCTTTCCAGAATGCTGGGATCACAGGTATGTGCCAACTGGCCCATTCACTTTTTAAAAAGGTAATAAGTAGCCGACAAAAATAGGCCAAAGGTTAATTTTAAAGATTATGTGCCAAATTTTGTGAATTTATTGATGAAATAGGCTTCAATAGTAATGCAGTTTTAAGTCACCACCAACCAGTTCTTTAAAGTGTTTCAATATAGAGTACTAACCTGGTAGAGATAACAATTCTGTCATTGTTCTTAAGAGATGCAGTTGGAACAGAGCAAATGACCATTTACATGGAATTAAGTAAATTGTCTAAAACACTCATGACACATTACTTCTTTGCACAGAAATTGGCTCAGTCATATTAAAGTGATGAAGAATTCCTCGGTGGCTCAAGTGTGCTCCAAGGAAAGCTAGAAGGTTGTACAGTTAACTCCCAGGGTGTAACTCTAAACCATACAACCTACTACCTCAACCCGGATGCACACAACTTCCAATGTGGCTTCAAACTCCTTATCATATCTTCTGTCAGCTCCTCCAAATATGGCGGCCATATACCTAAGGACTTGGCAAGGGTGTAGATATAATATGCTAACATTTTACCAATACACTTAAAATATATCTCATAGGGCTTTTAGAGTTTCTAGCGTGGGTCACATACAATGAGTTCTGACATCTTTCTTGCCATAGTTCAAGTATCAATTAATAATATTAAAAGCCAATAGCATTCAACTTCATATTCCAGGAGATATAGGCTCCATAGTAACATATAAAATCAATAGCATTCTTTTTTTAATTAAAATTGATGAGTTGCACTAACCCCTGAAGTATGCTCTGAAGTTTCAGAACTAGGTTTATTGGAGTCTTGGTTCAGATATTTTTCTAAAAAATTTCAACATTCTAAAGCAGTTTACTGCACTTGAAATCAAACTTGAATGGCTGTGGTATAAATATTTCCAAGTGGTCAAGTATTAAATCCTGCTTTGTAGGATACATGAGGATTAACATATACATAGAAAACAAAGCAAAACACAATTACTTAAGAGACTAATAAACTGGAGCTTAACAAGAATACTGAAATATTATTAATAAACTTTGTATATAGTGTTTTGTCAGATTACCACATTGACACAGACCCATAGAAGCGAGCTTGTGCCGTCCACTTCACCACAAGATCGGATCTACGGGTTTATGCCAACAGGCGACATCTTGCATGGGCTGCCTATTAGTGTAGAATTTGTTGTATATATATAATGCAATTTAGGAGTGAAAATTAACACTATTAATATTTTAGTATAAATGTTTTAAATGCCGAGTCCTGAGGCTCTATGTGCCCTGTTAAAGACCTATTTAAATATGCTAAACTGAATCTAGGTTAAAAAATACTCCATTATTCAGACTGGTTTTTAAAAAAATAATGACTATTTGGAGACCAGCTATCATAATCAACAATGAGATTTGAAAGAAAAAGAATCCATACACATACATATAAATTATGTCATTGTAAAGCATGATGTAGTACTATGAGTCTACAATTAAAACCAAATTATTAAGCTAGATGTATTTAAGTTAAAGAGCTTGTTTTGATTCTTTTAAAGTTTGGTAACCGTTTTTTAAAAAACTGATAATATATATTTTTTATAAAATAGATAAGATCTTATTGAGTCAAGAACATAGAAAGATATTATAAATCTGAAATATAATCACATATGTCTGTATTCAGAATAAAACTAAAATGTGCAATGTTTTGATGAATTAATACCCAAAACCTAAAATTAGTGACATATTAACAGTGTCATTACTGATCTCTGTACTAACATTTATACTCCAACTGTATTACATCAGAGAGGATATTTTATCTCAAGAACAAAATATATTTGAGTTTATTTTTGAAAGATTTCTTTAAAACACAATATGTGCCAATGTATAATTCTTATGTGGTCAACAGGTTGCTTAAAAATAAGTTCTTTTTTTAAAAAAATTTTCAACCAAAACACAACAAGCAAACACAAATGAATGAACATAAAGCAAGTCACGTAGACTTTTTTAAGATTCTAAGCTCAACTGCAATAAAATTATAAGTTTTACAATCTTTTCAAGGTTATCTATAACCATTTAGCTTTTCTTAATTATGTCTCCATTGTGAAAAATAATAATAATACAACATAGTAATTATGATTTTTCTATGCTTTGCAATAAAATAGTTTTCTAAGACTTCATACAGATAATTTGGTCCACACAATTTTTCACCATTATTTACTTTCAAAATTTTTCCATACTTATTAAAAACTGAAATAAACCATAAAAATGTCATAAAAAATTTCAATATATTTTTATGAATTTCTATGTGAAATAAAGGATAACATTGGTTCAGAGTTTTATCACTGTATGAACGTGTGTTATGGCTTTATTATCATATGAGATCATATAAAAAAAGATTTTAAAAGCACAACTTTATTTCCTTCACCCATATTTCACTTCCTTTTCTATGGTACAGCAAATGGAAAAGATAGTTTCTTTTTTGTAAATAGCTTTCTATTCAACCATATTTTACCTATGTTTCACGAATGTATATACAGATATATATTCAAAGTGATGCAAACTGGACATTCATCTTAAATTCCAGCAAATTTTTCCACAAAGATAGCATACAAAGTCTCAAATGAAAACCATAAATTAAAATTTCCATCACCTAGGTTCATAAAAAACATTAAAAGAATTCTTGTATAATTAAACAGTGGAAAATGTTTTTTTCTTGAAAAATGTACATAGTAATTGCTCTTTTGCTTTTTATTTTTACCTGAGATGATTTTCTCCTATGATCACTTTCTTCACTTCTCATATCCATTTTAAGTTTTTCCCTAAAACAACCACAAAAGGAGAAATATCAGACAACTGCTGTCTAGGAGGACGATCTGAATGGATGGTGGGAATGAAGGTAGATGATCGAGAAGGAAATACAATATCAAAATGGAAAAGAAATCTTTTAAAGTATTAAAAAAATAGGCTTGGAAGACTCATAGGGCCCCACCCAAGCCGACTCATATGACATATACTGTGGTTTCATGGTTTACATTTATGTGTTCATTTGGGTTGGTGTTGTTTTAACAGGAACAGTTTTGAAAGTGAAAGGAGGATGGTTCTTTAAAAAGCGACTAGACTGAGCACAATGAAGTAGTGAGAGCTGAAGAGATTTGAATTTGGCATGGAGTTTAATAAGATAATTAAGAGTATACAGATTAATGACTGCTAAAAATAACATTTGAAATAATGTTTTTTAGCTAAAGGATCTTGAAACATGAAAGCAGTTTTATCCATATTAATGAAGCCTTTCAAATTTGGCATTCTATTAGCTGAAGCACTATGAAAGAACAACAGCTATTTTGTAAATAATTAGCTAACAGTAACCAATAAAGTGATAAAATATTTTATTTAAACGTTGTCATTATAGAGTGTTTTTATAATTTCTTATGAATTCTTCATAGAAGAACAAAATAGAAGACAGAATTCAGTATTTCTACATTTCGCTTTGTTGATCCTGCATGCTTTTAATGTAATACAGTATGATTTTAAGAATATAACAGTTTAAAGAAAACTTATTGCTTTATATAAAACATGGCATCAATTAATAATATGAAAATATAGACTTTACGGATACCTGCTGTATTTTCAGAAAGCACTTTCACTTTTTGAACAATTCTACATATGTTTAGAAACATTTTTATAAAAACCAAAATAATTAGGATGAATATGCTAATCCTTTTACATGGAGCTAGGCAAAACTGCATTTTTTTAATAAAATGCTTAAATTGCTTAGCAATTTACTTCTACAAATAATTAGAATGCAAAGCAGTTATGTGCTGAGCCAATATGTTGCTCTGAACTTAAAGCAAGTTTGTATGTACTTTTTTCACAAAATACTTAATGGATATTTCCAACCTTCTTTGCAACTGCTCTTGGACAAATACTTCTTTTTAAATGTATTTTAAAAGAGAGCGTTATTAAGGAACAAGCTTCTTTTCTACTTAGCAACTGAGAACATAAGCTTTTCATCTGTTTCTGTGCTACTAAAATCCTTGTAAATAATTTAAGTATAACTTTTCTCAAACTAATTTTATTTATCAGTAGGTTAACATGCATTCTAGCATGATCCTTTTTCAGAAGTTCAAAAAGTTTCCTTTTTTACAGCCCAAATTGTGAAACACATGAAAGATTTTACTGTCTTTAACAACAGGATCTAAACACTCACATTTCTTAGCAAAACTAATGCTGGCCACAAAAACACAGAGGACACATTTGTGTCGTCCTGAAAGAATGTCTGTGTATAAGAAAAATTAGAAAAACATTCTCATAGAGATTTTTCTAGCTTTACTTTAGGGTTAGAGGAAGAAAGTAAAAGGGAAAAAGTTTAGAGTAAAGTGGATGATGAGTGAAATAAGAATAAATTGAAAGTTCAAGGATCCTCATTTATATAACAGTAGGCTTAAAAAGAAACAACAAAAAAGTTATACCTGATATGAAAGGTGCGCTTTCACCAAGTGCAATGTATTGCTAATCATGCCATATTGTTTTGAAATAGTAAAAATAAAGAAGGCTCGTTTGGTTATGTTGCCTTAAAAAGCTGCTTTAGAAAGCCCGATGTCTCTGCAGTTATATAAGCCAATGTTTGCTTTTTTTTGTTTGTTTGTTTTGGATTGGATTTTTGTTTGTTTTTGTTTTTGTTTTTGAGGAGGAGCATCTCTCTTTTTTCAGAACTCTTGCCTGTAGTAAGACAAACTCAAATTTTTTTTTCTTCAGGGCTCCTGTTATTTCTTAGAAAAGAAGAAACAGAGCGCTTGTCTTCTTTTTCTTCCTTCTCCGTATTCCAGGCACAAAGCACTGCGCAGAAACTGCACCAATCCTTGCCGTCACTGGCAGCAGAATGGTAGAAGGTGGGAGATACCAGGAATCCTTCCAGGCTGTGCGGACTTTAGAAATGAGGATTGCACACGTTTGTCTCCCGAACCAGAGTGGTGAAAAGGCAGGATGCCAGTTTGCTACAGGGCTGCAATGATCTCATGCTCAGTGCTGCTGTCGTCCTGTTTGCCCAGTTCAAATGCCTGTTCATTACAAACCAAAAAATAAATAAATAAATAACCCAACTACTTGGATTCTTCAGCAAGCAGAAAAGCACATTAACATTTAAAAAGTCAGTAAAGGCACAAAAGAAAACAAAACAGAAAACAGAAAAATTTAAGATTCACTTGCTATGCCTCAATATTCTGTTATAATTTCTCTCTCTCTCTCTCCCTCTCTGGACATAAGCAGCAGAATTTATCAGGCGTGAAAGGGACAGCCTCCTGGTGGCCTGCCAAAAACCCAGAATAAAGGCGAAGTTGTGCTTCAAAGCTCAGTTGCTTGCTGAGTCTGGCTAAAGTCAAGTATTAAGATCCACCATTTTCTGAGCCACGCTAGAAAAAAAGAAAAAAGTCAGGACCGTTGCTGCTTTCCAAGTCTCCGTTGGCACCATCACAAAATCTCAGTCGTAAGGTCACATGATTCTCTGCCAAATGTAGAGTGCATTCCCATCAACCATTCTGCTGATACTGCGAAGGCAGCTATTGTCTCGTTTAGACCCAAAGTTCAGCCCACTCTTCATTGAATTAGCTGAAAAACGCATCACCTTTGGGGGCTGGGAGTCATGGAAACGTCTACCTGGCAAGCTGCCCACTTTTTCTGCCCATCAACCAGAGATGGAATTGTGCTGCCTAATGCAATGATGACTTGGAATGTGAAGAGTCGTCCAAAGTGAATCTGATTCTTGCAACGCCTGTTTCGTTTGCACAGAAAACTCTGGCTTCTTGTAGTTAAGAGGGGAAAAAATCCTTTCTACCAAAGTAGCAAATAAAGGTTGGAACATGCCTACTCTGCAACTTTATTCCTCAACACACCCAAATGGCTTTCAAATGAAAAGACTGAATGCCCCGCAAGTTTCCTTCATTAAAGACATCTCTTCTTCTGTCTCCTTTTCCTTACAAGTGAATGCAACAAGCCTGAGACGTTTGTTTTAGTTTCTCACTTAAGGCTTAAAACAAATCTGTGAGTTTTCTTCTCACTTTTTATTACTTTCTGATTTTTATCTGGCACCAATTTTGTACTATGTGGTCACACTATCCAATAGCAGCAGTGGGGATGCGTTATTGCTGCAATCTCCAACAAAGTGGTACCCCGAGAGAGCCAGTTGTGTCTTCCACCACACAAAACCCTGCAACTGGGTCCTGTGGTTATCTTCATCCGTACCTAGTACAGCTGCTGTGCAAGATTGCTGAAAGTGACACATGTGAGAAGTGCTCTTTCTGTTCCCGCACTGGCTACAGTTTGCCTGTATGGCATGAAAGATGCGTTTGAAAGATGCAGGGAGAATATCAACAGCTCTTAGGCAATAAAATGAAACGGCCCCCCTCCCCTGTGAATTTCCATTCTAGCATGCAATGCAAGTTCCCATGTACAAACATTTCCATACTTTCTAACAAAAGTGGAGTGAATTAAATCTTTCACAATTTCCTTAAGCAGAATCTAAGGCCAAGGAGGAAGACAAGCATTGCGAGTATTTATGCCAAGCACACTGAGTAGCACTAAAAAGAACCATGTCCTCCTACTCCATTAACATTTTTTGCAATGATTGGAAAAATCTTTATTTAAACCATAATGATGTGTATAAGAAATTAAAATTTATACTCAGTTCCTTACCAAAAAAGATTTTTACCTATCCCCACATTTGAGATATACAATACAAAATACATGGCATATGTTTAAAAAGTTAATCAAACCATGACTTGCCTAATAAAATAAAATTGCCAAAAAATTCAAGAATCTGGGAAATGTATTGTAAAAAGATGCCTTATGGTCTTTTTGTGTGCTATATCCTCCAGGTCTCTTTATTTAGGAGCAATAGCAGTGAACATACATGTGAACATACATGTATCTAGACCACGATAGTACTTGTCCCATTTGTAATTCAAAACACACACAATTTCAAACCATAAAACACAACCTTACTCATATGCTAAAATTTTAAATTGCATTTTTCTAGATTGAAAAAGTTTGGAAAAATATATTGCTAGTCCCCAAACCATGTACTTAAAGAACATGTAATGAAAATTAAACATGGCAGGTACATATGTCTCATGCTTTAGCATCCTTAGCATGCTTCAAAAAGTAGAAATACCCCACTTGTAAGAAGGAAAATTTAAACTCCCAGAGAGAATTCATTTTTCCATCAGATATAAAGAATTGGTATGTGATGAGTCATGACAGATACAGAGGAATAGCAATGTACCAAGTGGGTAAGGCTCCCATGTAAGAATTACTTAATAAATATTTTCAAGTCAGAAAAGCTCACTCTTAAGATAATATTTATTAGAGAACAAATTTCTCAATAATCTGGTAGAAATTGGAAAGTGAAAGTAAAATAGTATTAGAATATAAATTACAAATGGAGGTGTTTTCTTTATCAGAAGTTTTCTTTTTTCAATATAAAACTCATTAATAAGTTTTGTGTGACTCTCAACTTGCCTCAAGAAATTAATATAAAAACTGTATGTATTCCTCCTAAACTAAAAAAAAAAAAAGAATTCAGAGAAAAAGGACTCTTTTGCTTCCTAGGACATAGAATAGAAATGATTTTTCCTAGTCCTCCCAATAGGTACAAAAAATTTCTAGACATTATATATATACAATAAATATAAAGAGCCTAAAGGATGAAGAGATGATGACAAAACAGCTAGAGATTGCAGGACTTAAGGAATGGCATGGTGGTGACTTTCTTCTGTTTTCTTTGTGTCATATGAATCCAATATTTTGAGCTTGCATCCCAGAAATGCCAACTAAAGAGAGAGACAGAGAGAGAAAGAGAGAGACCGAGAGGGCTGTTTTCCTTAGACATAGGATGAAGAAAGGAGTAGCCTATGAAATAGTCTCCAAAGACTGAAAACACTGGGACAATATTTTTTATCTTTAGTCAAACATAACAGAAAAGAAAATGCAGACCCTGCCAACTCATATCTTCAAATATCAGATTGATGAGCCCGGATGTTGACCCTTGTCAAGCTATTGCCCTAAAGTGTAGTGTAAATCTCAGGGTCTGGGAAAACCCTCCCTCTGGCAGGGGGTGGGGGTCAGTGTTAGGTAACAAGTTTCTTCCTTTCCTTAAAATATAAATGGAGACTACACCAGGAGCCTGGGATTCCATGCCAATTCAATAGTAATGGGGCACCCTTCCCTGCCGCACCCTGCCCTGCACTTAAGTGGTATCAGAGGATGCCTGGTAGAGCAACGCAATGTTAGATACTGCCCAGAAGTAACAAGGTCACTCTACATCTGTGCCCCTGAGGTCTGGGAGGCTGCTATGGAAACAGTAATAAACCACCCCTATCCTGGTAGTGGCAAGCCAATACTATTTAGTGAAATAGCAGTAGAAAACTATTCAAGAGTACAAAGCCCTCACCTTCATCCAGTAGTAAGGAGAATGCCTTCCACATCAGTGTCAATGGTGGCCAAGCGGGAAGACAGGTGCTTTTACCTACATTGAATAGTGAGGTGGCACCCCTCCGTCCTTGCACTGGACCAGTGTGAATGGAAGCCAGGTAAACCAGAATATTTAAATAAAAATTAGAGTCTTATACCTAGTACCTAAATGTCCAGTTTCAATTGCAAATCATTTGTCATACAAAGAAGATTTAAACAGATCTTTTAAAAAAGACCAGTCATGCAAGCAAAAAGATACATATTAAATTATATTACAAAGATTCTAAAGCATCCTTCACATCATGGAAATGCTTTCATGAGCAATTAAGAATACACTTGAAACAAATAAGAATTAAAAACATTAGCAAAGATTCAAAAGATATAGCCAGATGGAATAACTAGCTATAAATTTTAGATGTGAAAAATACAATAACTAAAACTTTAACAAAGCCAATAGATATATTCACAGGAAAGTATACCAATAGGAATCAGTTAATTAGAAGAAGAATAATAGAAATGACTCAGTCTGAGAAGAGAGAAAATATACTTTAAAAACAAACACAAAAAAGTAAACAGACCATACCAACTGCAGAACTATAATAAAAGATCAAACACTGTCACTGGAATTTCCGAAAGACAGGAGAAAGGGGGCAAAGGCTTCCAAATTCTCAAAGAAGTAATTGCTGAAACGTACCAAATTTAGCAACTAATACCCAGATTCAAAAAGCTATGCATACCAGAAATCTGAACCCCAAGAAATCCACACTAAAATACCACAAGCAAAATTATTAAAACTAAAGACAAAGAAATACTGAAAGGAAGAAGAGAAAAATATAACTCTTTCTAGAGTGGGAAGACAACTGGGATAGTGGGTTTCTCACCAAAACCGTAAAGTCCAAAACAAAAGGGTGCAACAGCCGGGGATATAGCTCAGTGGCACAAGCGCCTGCCTGGCAAGCACAAGGCCCTGAGTTTGATTCCTGGTACCAAAAAAAAAGGAAAAAAAAAAAAAAAAAAAAAACAGGAAAAATAGAAAGGCATGCAATGTTTCCAATTTCTGAAAAAAAAAATTGTCAATCTAGAACCCTACATGGATAGAAAATATCCTTGAGAAATGAAGGAGAAGTGGAGACTGTTTGTGAGCAGCAGGCTTATTTTTTCAGTGAATGTCTAAGGAAATTATTCAAACCAAAAAGAAATAATAAAAAGGAGAGCTTGGAACTTTAGAAAAAAAGAATTTGATAAGCACAAACAAGTAAATATAATAAACGTTCCCCAAAGTTTTGTAAACTATAATTGATGGTAGAAATAACGTAGCACTATGTGATGTAGTTCTAAAAATTTATAGAGCAAATATTATAATTATATTGTACA